GACTTTGATTCCGCCTCCGACATAGCCGGTGAATTTGGATCGCGTGCGAATAATCGTCCGGTGCGCCTGTTTGCGGAGATGATACCGCAATAATTTCCCTCCGGCCCGTTCGCATTCCTTCCGGAAGTCTCGCGTAACTGGGTCCCCCTCTGAGCGAGTTTCCCCGCGTTTGAACATGCAGATCTGTCACGTGGGAGGAAGACGTTCGGCGATTGAAATACGCGTCCGGTGGTTCCTTCCGCGGCCACGCGCGCGCGCGCTTTACCGCGCTCTTTATCAATCCTCTTGTGAATCCGGACGATAAGTGCTTATTCGCCGAAATCTCATAATAACTATCATTTCGATCCTTTCAGGTCTCAGCGTGCGCGTGTAATGTTATTTCAGCATACGCGGCTCGTCTAAGAATAACAGCCGCGCTGCCAATTCCAATTAATCTTGCCCGGATTAGGGTCGAGATAATCTTGAGTATTCGCGTGTCGGGTATGAAACATACATGTTACGTCGCCTGATCGTCTCCGCCTTGCTTCAGATCCGCGATAATGCCCGCTTTCGCCCTACCCCGGCTATTATTTCGATAAGGTTGTTACGCGAGGATATACGAGTTGGTGCGCGCGGCAGATCCGCCATTTTTTAACCACTGCCCGAAAGTAATATCGCGCGGCGCGATATAGCGGCGCGTTAATAATCGTTTCTACGATTCCCCGCGCAATTACATCCCGTAATCGTCGTGTAGAACGGTCCCGCAAACGGCGACGATAAGCGACGCCCGTCGTGCGTCCGTTTACGAGCTTCTGTTATTTTTTAGTGCCGATGCGAGCCACGACTTCTGCCTCCATTAAGTCGTACACCACGTACGACGGATGAAATCGCGTGCAAATTATCATCTCCGTCGACGGCGTCCTTCTCGGCAGCGCCTCTCCCGCAGCGCCACCACCTTTTCCACCCTTATGTGGGATGACAAATGGCCGCCCATTAGGCCGATTTCGTGGTCATTCCGCCGTTGTTCCTCACTCGCAGCATTCCCCGGGCTTCGCCGGCACCTTCCGAAAAAATTAATTACCCGCGATGCAGCGGAGTTGCGACACCCTCGAATGCTGTCGCGGAAAGGGTTCTTCCGCCGTCAGGAGGGAGAAATGCGCGTGGAACCGTCTATATTAATGAAAATATACAGCGGATCTCTCGGAGGGAGCTGAATTAGTAATCGACGACCGCATCGCGCCGGACTTGTAATTAAGAATTCCGCGCTCTTGAAGTAAAAAAGGAGTGAAAGGGGGAGGGAGAGAGAGAGAGAGAGAGGAACGATTTTGCTTCTTTTCGGGACGTTTCAAAATTAAAGACTTTCCGGAGGAATCTCGACTCGTTGAAGCTGGAGGGACGGAAAAAGTTCCCGAAGAAGACAATGGAAATTTGCGTTTCGCGGTAGATCGTTCTCGTTGAATTTCAGATCGTTCTTTCCTGTTTGTTTGCGCAAAAAGAGTGAAGGTGTTTTTTTCCGTTTTTCCCCGTTAAGTTGAAATATATATTCTGTAATATTTTCCACGCGTTATATGTGGTCCGCCAAAAGCTGTTAAGCAAGCTCTATTAAAATGTTAGCTCACTGTGATAAGCATTGGTTTACATTTTACAGCGCAGTCTCTTCATAAAAATGTGACATAAAAAGGTGGGGAGAGAGGGGGAAAGAAAAAAGATGTCTTTTATAGCGCGAAGTATTTCTCGACGATGCGCACATTAATGCGCCCCTCCTTCCGATTTTAGTTATTTACCGGCAGCGCGCGCTGTATATGCATGTATAATACATATTCAAAAACAGGGTACGTCATAGAGACACATTTATCTCTCATCGCTGACATTCACTGGCTGCTTTTTCAGAGCGTTAGACCACGCGAGGTCAGCTTCATTAGCGAGAAACCAAAAGACCACACTGTTTCGCGATACCGGCCAGCGGCGTGGCGAAATAAACGCTCCCGGCCTTATTCTGTGCGAATAAACATGAAAGGATCGTTAATTAAGGCGATGCGTTAGTTACGCGTGCACGTTACACGCGTACGCGTCAGTTGTCTGGCAACACCTGTTGAGATATATATGTATGCAAGCCGTACGAACTCTCCGGGAAAACGCAGACCAGCATTTCGCCACGCCGCGAAGTGATTCCACAACGCAGCCGAATAATCACAGTTGTAATTAACCGTCACTTTTGTATCGGTAATAACGGATTTAATTTGCTGCGTATGTTCGTATTTGCACGAGGGAAAATTCGAAATGCATATTTAGTTCCTCTCGCGAACGGTGCTTTCCCCGGTTTTCCTCCGAAAGGAACGCGAGGCTCGCCAGCCGAAAGTCTTGCAGATTCGGTCGTCGACCGTTGTTGTTGTACCGAGAGCCGCGCACGCAGTGGGTTACAATTCTCTGTAAAACGGCTATTGCCTCGAGCCCCGGGTCTTCCGCTCGTTAGCCTCGGCATACAATTCAGCGGACTCTTCACGCTGAGAATTGCTTTACCCACTGAATCTAATTTATCGCCGAACGACACACACACACCCTGCTGATCATACGTTTATTTCCCCTTTGGCAATATCTAATAATAATATTGTTAATATTAACAATAACATTCATTCCTCCCGGTTAGAACGGTGCCATGGGAGCATGATTACGGTCGGTTCATTTTCAACCGTGAACATTGATCGTGGATATCCGCCAATTAGCACGCTAATAGTTCCTATAATTATTGAGGATATAACCAACGATTATCGATCGTTGCAACATTAGTCCCTCTGGTCATCCAATAACGTCACCGATGACGACGTGGCTATTCCAAGTGAGCTGCCGCGTTAATGCCTCGAAAATCAAGAGCGCCGTGGGCACGTTCCGACCGGTTCTTTCCCAACCGGAATTAAAATCGGCGGAAATACCACGCTTCGCCGCGAAACTGCAAATATCGTTTATATTTCGTATCATGATTGTTAAGTGAATACACCGGGCGCGCGGCTCGTACTTGTCGAAATTAAATACGCGAAAGAGAAACGGCCGCGCGAGCAGAGACAAATAGCTGGGTGGCACGACGGTTCGGAAATTTTCTCCGAAAAAGGGAGATGAAAAAAAAGGAAAAAAAGAGAAGAATTTTGCGAAAGTGTGAAATTGGCGTCACATTATTTTCATCCTCATAGTCGCGCGAGGCCGTACCCTCCGCTATTGAAACTCCAATTTTTTCCCTTCACGTCCCCGCACGACGGAACATTCTTTTTTATCGCACGGCTATAAATTTAAGAGGGGCTTAGCGCCGTGGTTTAATTAAACTAGTTTAGCCGTCATTCCCTGCCCTAAGCCTTCTCCACGCGCTACGCCGGAATCGATTGAGTATCTTCTTCACGCGTCCCGCTATTTCCTTTCCCCATTTATCCGGCTTGGAGAGCATCAAATTAATTTTAGACGATGCATACTATATAAGGCTGCAATTACAACCGCCGTGAGACGCATAATAAATGGATAGACCAAAGATAGACTGAAGCTATTTGATAATCGATCGACGGGGAGCTCTGCCCCTGTTCCAGATGCGTCGGGTAATCGATAATACAGACAAAATGCCCGTGTGTTTTTACTTTAATTACGTCATTCATTAGATTATTACAGCGTCGCTCGTTGTGCGGCGAGAGTTAGACGATTACTTCAACGTCAGCTCCCCGTTACGTAGAAGACACCTGACATTTAGCCGCTTGCGTCGCTTATCGCTCGGCAAACGTATAAAAGAAGTGACTTATAAATTTCTCGCCGACCGCTTATGACATACCTTCGACTTAACCAACTAACGTGTCTTCAGGAACGTCGTTCATTTGTGAGAAACGCGGAGATGCTTCTTCGACACCGAAGACACGCGCGCGCGCGCGCGCTTCTAAATGAGCACTCAAGAATTAGAATCTGAATAATGCCGTAGATTGTAGGGGATTTGCATAATTGCTGAAAAATCGCGTATCTTACGGAGGAGGTATCTGCTTTTCCCCGCGTTATCTCGGGAATCGCGCGACCGGCGGAATTAATACGACTCGCGTAATAACGCGAGTCGTTTTAATCAAGGAACGGTATATTCCTATATCGCGCTAATGATATGCGCCGACCTCGCGCGCGCACGCAGCCGGAATAAAATTCCTACAATTATGATTTACATCGAGCGACACGACACCGCCGATAAAGTCGAAGCGGCGGTATTGTAACATGTTGAGGTAGTAGCCGCAGCGCGCAGCGGCGACGATGCACACACGTCGTCCCGAACGTACGCCTCAAGGACGGTTTCGGTGGGTGCGAAGCAGCCAGTTAATTATGGGACACCGGGGAACGCCGCTAATGATATTCAGAAGCACCTTTCCATTTATATTCCCTTCATCGACTACGCCGCGCGAGTTTCGAGGAGTCGGCGTTCGCCGGGGGAGCGCGTCGGGACGCGCGGTCGAGCGAAACTTCCTCGGATGAGGTCGACGGTAATAATCCGCTGTTTAAAGTTCCCAACAGCCTCGTGACGAGAGAGATTTGGAGTGGAGATTTGATTTAATTCGTCGTGTCACGACCTTCAACTCGCGAAATACGCTCTACGGCAGGATTCGGAACCCGAGCCCAACGACCCTTTCGCCGCGAAGAGAACGATCGATAGAGGAAGAGAGCGAAAAGGAGAGAGAGAGAGAGAGAGAGAAGCCGTTTGAAAAATTTCACAGGCGTTACATTCTTAACGAAACATCCTGCTACGTTTTTCGCGCGATAAGTTTCCACTGTTTGAAGCTATTCGAAGCCAAGGGAATCGCGATGGGCTTTGGGTTTACTCGAATTCCATTAGCCGATCCTCCCAATTCTCTCTAATCCGTCAGAACTATTATCGACACACCAGTGTCGATCGCGTCGCTGACTTGTTGGCCACAAGCGCCTCATCTCACCTCCCGATTTCGCCGTAGCGAAAGGGTTGAGCCCGGTTGTAAATCAGGTATAAGCAGTGTGACGTAACGGGCAGCATTACTCACTCGGCTTATCCAGATCCGATAGCTCCACCGACGGCGAGTACGCCGTGGCGGCTGCCAAGACCAGCATCGTCGTCGTCGTCACGACACTCCACCGCCACCACATTTTGTCCCCCTTTCACGCGCACTGCACACACTCTCGACCCCCTAACGGCCGACCCTGCTCGCACCCCTCTTCAGTCGTTACGTAGTCGCGCGCCCGTTGCGAGCCGACACTAATTGCAACCCCCGACGCCGCTGCCGCTCTCGCCGTTGATGCCGTTGCTGATGCCGCCGGTGTTGTTGCTGCTGCATCGCGCCGCCGTCCACATCGTCCGCCACCCTTTGTCGTCGTTGCTGTTCGCCGCGAACCAACACGAACGATGCGTAGCCGTCCCCTCTTCGCCGCTCGTCGCTCACCTACCTGTCTTCGTTTAATGAGACGCCAGCTATTTGTAGTTCGAGACGTCTCAAGAATGAAACACGGAACTCCTAACGACGGAGTATGTTATCGCCACTCGGTGTTGTCATTCTGTCTAGCGTGACCTTCGTCTATCTCATCGTCCTTCGTTGAAGATCTCCGCGAACGATTCGAGCGTGCGAGCGTCCTCCCGGTAGATTTTCCGATTTTTCCAATGGGTCGTATTCCCTTTCTCCTCTCTCTCTCTCTCGATCAAATTTGTTTTCCAATCGATCCCGATGGAACGTAATTCTTTAAACGGAGGTTACGAGCAGTTGAAACTTTATTCGCTCCGGGCCGTTGACGCCGTTTGTTATCCTTCCTCCTACTTCATGATCGATGCGTTCTCCGTTAGGTAAATTTGTTGCTGCCATAGGATTTCACAGACGTGTTGGACGAGCAGATGATCGCTGGATTTGTGCGGATAAACGGATCCGTAACGGAGCGAAGCTTCCGCTGACAGCTTCCGAGTGGCGATTGTAGTTTTATTGTCCGGGCTGCTGCAGCGGCGGCCTTCTCTGCAGGGTGGATCCGCGAGAGCTTCTGTCTCGGCGCCTGTCGCGATTTCCGCATTCGATCGCGGCGAACCACCGCGAAATGAAATAAAATATCCGTCAGGACCGAACGTGCAAAGTAGATTCGAGCGAGCGCGCGCGTGCGGCCAACTTACAAGTCCGATAAATTTCCGGAGCACTCTGGGGAATTTACAGGGCGCGTCCGTTTCCGAGCGATCGTCGAGTGGCTCTCTTCCCCCCTGCGAGGTCCGATCAGCAGAATGCGGATGCGCTTGAAAACAAGTAGACTTAATGCGCTCCGAGTCGCAAGGCTCGCAAGGCGGATATCACTCGGCTCGAATCGCAGATCGCTTCGATTTCCCCTGAACCGCGCATGAGCGATCGAGTGGAATAAAGCAGTCGCTTCTGCCGGGGAAACCGTGTGGCTGGCTGTTCTCGTCTCGCCGGTGGCGATCGCGCCCGTACGTCGGAAATTTCGGCCCACCGATGCCCGTTGGTCACGGAACGAAAGTCATCGTCTGGGTCATCGCACCACTGAGTGTACTTTCCGTATTCCCGTCTGTGTACCGCTCCGGCGTGTATCGATCTAGCCGAGCGGCAGCCGAGAGAGTGATGAACCGCAGGTGTACGAACGCGCGTCGCGGGCAAAGTTAATCGCGATACCAATCGGCACTGCGTGTACTATCGATTTCAACACGGCCAAGCAAGTTTCGACCACCACGCGTATCGCTGCTCACAAGCACGGTGGAGACGGCCGAACCGGAATTTACTCGGCGCACGGAACGCGGCCGATCTTTCCTTTTACGCGCGTGAAAAGCACAGAGACCACGTGCGTTCACGCACTCGCGTCGGCTCGATCTTACGCGGAAGACAGTGACATCGGGGGTGGCCCGAACGACAGCGCGCGGTCGATGCGAAGAGTCGCGGGCCGGTCACGTGCGTCGGTCTCGCACTTTCGGATTAATTACGGTAGTTTCGACGCACCTGAACACTGACGGGAACGGAAGAGAGAAGCGAAACAGCCCTCTGCGGTGAGAACGCGTTTTCGAAAAGTCGCGACTTCCGGGTCATCGGTCGGCACTCGCGGAGCACATCGAGGCGATCGACCGGGCGTTCCGGCGACTCCGCGCCGATTTTGATTCATGGATCACCCGTGCGCACAGTTTGTCATCGAGATGAGCGACGGATAAAGCTCCCCTACGACGAAGCCACATCGAGTCCTGACCCGCGGCGGCTCGGTACTGAAACCATTGAATATCGCGACGAACCGTCGCGGTTGTTTCGGCCGACTCCGCTCGCGCTCGGCTGTTCTCGGGCACGCTCGCGCCGTTCCTCTCATTCTGGTCCCTTCAACCGCTCGCCGCCTCTCACTCGCACCGCCGCGCGTTTCCGCTCCGACTCCCACATTCGGCGCGTTTCTTCCGTTCTCCGGCTCTGTCGCGGCGGGGACCGCGATGATTTACCGGCGCGGCTAATGAGTCGCGCCCGTAATCGCCGCCGTGGTCCAGGCGCGGATGTGTGAACGCGCGTAAGATCTTGGAGAGAACGCGCGAAAGCCGACGCTCTCGACGGGATGGTGGGGCGGGAGGAATGCCAGGGTCGTTACGCTCTTATGAATCCGACGGGATTTCACGGGAGCGCGAGAAATTCCACGCCGATCGGAAATCGAACTGCTTTTTCTCCCTCTTTTTATCCCCCTCTCCCGCTTTCATCAGGAAGCGTAAGTTCCTGCGAGATTGAGTAAACGGACGTACGAACACGATACTCACCCGGTTTAAACGCGACACTCGCTAATTAAGCAAGTCGCGAGAACCAACTCCAGCGGAGCTGATTACCCTCCGCTATTTGTATTTATCACGTGTACTCCCAATTTACTCGCCGTTGCTGTTAAGGTATCTCGAAGAGAGAGCGTGCTCGCGGAGAAAGAGGATATTGCACATAACGATAAATATGTCCCGGAAGAATGAGAGCACGTACTTACGTCACGGAGCGCGCTCACGAGTGTGTTCATGAAAACTGGTAGTTCGTGCGTACACACCAGTGCATGCACGAGATAACAGCCCTCGAAGCTTCATGACTACGAGAACTCCCTCCAATCACGATAAATTCCGGCTTTCGTGTTTCCATCGCTATCGGCAATCGCCTGCAAATCACTTCCTAATCCTCATCGAGTAGGTAGTATCTGCGAAGGTACCCATCCTAAATCCGCTTTGACTGTCTAAGAATGTTTCTACCTAGTATCCCCGTATCGTTATTTTCCTATCTCTCATTCCGAGCCGACTTCGACGTCAAATATCTTCATATAAATGTTTTCGTTCAAACGGTAACTCGCGTTGCGTTCTCTTTTTCGCAAATGGTACGTACACTTAAATATTACGCTGCATTACGTAATACGTGCCTATACGTAAGGCGATTTGCGCAGCTACCAACTGTGGTAGTAATTTCATTTCCTATCTAAAATCAAAGCGATCTTCTCTCGCCCAAAATAGCTGTCACTTGCACACACTTCTCGCATACGTGAGAGAGAGAGAGAGATAAAGAGAGAGAGAGAGAGAAACATAGTTCTATAAAGATCATTAATAGCTGTTACGAACCGCTAACAAGTGTGAGTGCGCGTGTGTGTGTGTATGAAACGCATCGTACCAACCCTTTATGCATTCATTAGTACATTATTAACTGACAAATCAAATGTGGCCAATGACCAAACGAATCAAACGTGGCCAATGACTCTGTGAAATGATATTTCGGTGCTGCGTTAATAGGTATTCTGTCGCTATGTTAACAGCTATTTTAATACTTTAGCAAATTTCATACATCAAGTCGTGATTACGTGAAATTTTATTACGCGATTCCGTGCACGCGGGACGGCACGAATGGTTACGGGACGATAAACAATATTTAATAACGTTCATGCGTTCTAATTACGTGAATACACCGGAGCCAATCATAATTGATGGTCATCGCTATATTTACCTAAGGTTTTCCGCATCTTCGGAAGTGAAGTTACGCGCAGTTTAATCGACGCGGCACTGATCTAACATTTACACGAGCGCGTAACTGCCACCGATAAAATATAAACCGCTGCTAACGTATTTTTTTTTGCTCCCAGGATTCGTAAACGTTTCAAGCGTCGCTCAACGCACCGGTGCGCCGCGATCGGTCGAATCGATTTCACGAGGCGCACCGGTGCGCGATCGATTCGCCGGGTCATCGATCGTACACGTCGGATTAATATTCATTTAAAAAGACACCCCGGAGAACATAGAATAGAACATCTGTCCCGGAATAACAACGGGCGCCGGTCATTAATTACGCCAAAGCGAACGAGGATACGTTTTGCCTTGAACCTTCGATATTTCAGGAACCTCTTCCTCCCGCGAGTTTCCCCCGACTCCTCGGAAGAATCGGCCGCGAATCCTTCCGCGCGTCCGGATTTTCACATTAACAATTCGGCCGCGCGAACGCGTGTGTCAGAGCCGGCCGCAAAACCGTTGGTTTACACACCAAGCCGAAAGTAATCGTTCAAAGAGACGCAATCGCCGGTTCTCATCTACCACATGCACACGAGCCGACGCGCGTGCTTCGTTTCATCCCGAATCGCCGATATTTTACATCGCGCACAGAGCTTGCTTTCATGGATGCCCGGCGAATTGGAACCCGACACCGCGTCATGCATCATGGTACATCGTCGGACACCCAGGCTGTTAACCCAGAGCGCAAGCTGGATACGATGTTATAGGCTGCCCTGTGTGCTCTCCGACTTGTCGAATAAACCATGAAGCCTGTCAGTCACATCGCCTCCTCGTCTTCTCGACCACCGCTCTCTCGCGTCTCTCAATAGAACCGCGTAATCTGAAAATCGGGTTTTACCGTCGTTCGACAGATGCCACAAAGGCAATCGGTTATACCGCGAGAGCCGGCGAACGAACTCCAATTCGGATATCTTAATTGCACGCTCTCTCTCTCTCTCTCTCCCCCCCCCCCCCCC